ACAGAACATTTCATCACAGAGAAAGTGGGCATATCGCAGGAACGTGTTGGACACATTTTAACAGTAGTGCTGGACATGCACAAGGTGTCAAGTCGGTGGGTCCCGAGAATGTTGACTGTTGAAAACAAATGCGACAGACAGCAGGTATTGGATAACAGCATGTTTGCTCACGTTCTCCATCTTTCAGACAATGATGACCTTCTGCGCTTCAATCTTCAATAACTGAAACAAAGAAAAAGCTATTTGTGAGAAATTTGGTATGGAGCCTTGCAAAGATATGTACTATGAACAGCAAAAATAAAACTGGGCTAAGACAAATGCTTCATAGGTAGGCCGAGAACTTTTCAGTAAGCAGCCAGATTGCGGACCTGTATATACAGCCCTGTGTGTTTGTAAACACAGGGCTCTGCTGTTATTGGCTACAGCTGATAACCGTGAGTCAGCAGGGGGCACAGGAGACAAAAGTGCACTTCTGTGACCCATAAGACAAATATGATCAAACTTCCCTTTTAACCACATAAAGTCCGGACACTTTTCACCCCCTTTCAGTCCAATTGTCAGATTTCAGCAATATCACCCTTTGAGTGACAATTACTAGCCGAACAACACTGTACCCATATCCATTTTTTGAGACAGATAGAGCTTTCTTTTGGTGGTATTTTATCACCACTGTTTATGTTTATTTTTTGCTATATAAATAAAAAAATTCAGAAAATGTCGAAAATAATTTTTTTGCATAATTTGTATTAAAATTTTGAAAATAAATTTTCTTTATAAATTTAGGCCAAATTGTATTCTGCTACATTTTGGGGGTAAAAATAACCCAAAACAGTATATATTATTTAGTCTGTGTGAAAGCTATAGAGTCTACAAACTAAAGGATATATATTTGAAAATTGACCAGTTGAGACCCTAAAATGCCAGAAGCTGGTATAGCATAAGTCAGTGATCAGGATGCTGGTATGGGGATGATCAGGACATTAGCATAAGGTATGGCGGTGATCAGGGCGCTGGTATGGCAGTAGCCAGGATGCTGGTATGGGGATGATCAGGATGCTGGTATGGGTATGGCATTGATCGGGATGCTGTTATAGAGTATGAACCTAGGAACACAATGAACTAAAATGGACACTCAAAACTTATACTGTATGTATGTTTAATTTGTTGTTTTCTGCAAAAATGTTATAGGAGCTCATCACTGGTTCACTGTGCTTCTCTATGCAATGCAGGCAGATCACAGGTGAAAGGAGGGGCTGGCAGGGTGCTGTACGTAGCTTTCTGAAAACATCACAGCACAGCACCCTGCCTCACCACTCCTCTTAGAAGCCCTCAGTCTAGATCAGCGGTTCTCAACCTGGGGGTCGCGACCCCTTTGGGGGTCGAACGACCATTTCCCAGGGGTCGCCTAAGACCATCGGAAAACACATATTTCCGATGGTCTTAGGAACCGAGACACCGCTCCTGTCTCGCGATCTGTGGGCGGGATGATATGCTGCCCCTGTAACCTGGCCACACCTCCGGGATCACTCAACAGCTCCGCCTCCTCGCCACTGATTGGCCACCGGAACTGTAGCTCAGGAGAGGCACACAGGCGGCCAATCACCGGCGAGGAGGTGGAGCTTGGAGAGGAGAAGCCGAGCGGCAGAGCGCGCAGATCGAAGAAGATCGAGGGAGCTGCAGGACCGAGTGAAGAGGAGAGAGGCCAGAGAAGGAAGACAGCTGACAGGTAAGTGCAAATTTTACTTCTGCAGGCTGTAGATGGGAGAGGGAGAGAGCGAGCCCAGGCTGGAGCAGGGGTCAGCAAGGTAAGTATCATTGGTGTCAGTGGGAGGAATAGTGCCCCATCATTTGTGTCACTAATACCAACGATGGGGCACTATTCCTCCCCCCACTGACACCAACGATGGGGCACTATTCCTCCCCCCACTGACACCAATGATAGGCACTATTCCTCCCCCCACTGACACCAACGATGGGGCACTATTCCTCCCCCCACTGACACCAACGATGGGGCACTATTCCTCCCCCCACTGACACCAACGATGGGGCACTATTCCTCCCCCCACTGACACCAACGATGGGGCACTATTCCTCCCCCCACTGACACCAACGATGGGGCACTATTCCTCCCCCCACTGACACCAATGATAGGCACTCTTCCTCCCCCCACTGACACCAACGATGCGGCACTATTCCTCCCACTGGCACCAACGATGGGGCACTATTCCTCCCACTGGCACCAATGATAGGCACTATTCCTCCCCCCACTGACACCAATGATAGGCACTATTCCTCCCCCCACTGACACCAATGATAGGCACTATTCCTCCCCCCACTGACACCAACGATAGGCACTATTCCTCCCCCCCACTGACACCAACGATGGGGCACTATTCCTCCCCCCGCTGACACCAACGATGGGGCACTATTCCTCCCCCGCTGACACCAACGATGGGGCACTATTCCTCCGCTCGCTGACACCAACGATGGGGCACTATTCCTCCCCCCGCTGACACCAACGATGGGGCACTATTCCTCCCCCCGCTGACACCAACGATGGGGCACTATTCCTCCCCCCACTGACACCAACGATGGGGCACTATTCCTCCCCCCACTGACACCAACGATGGGGCACTATTCCTCCCCCCACTGACACCAATGATAGGCACTATTCCTCCCCCCACTGACACCAACGATGGGGCACTATTCCTCCCCCCACTGACACCAATGATAGGCACTATTCCTCCCACTGATACCAATGATGGGGCACTATTCCTCCCACTGACACCAATGATGGGGCACTATTCCTCCACTGACACCAATGATGGGGCACTATTCCTCCCACTGACACCAATGATGGGACACTATTCCTCCCACTGATACCAATGATGGGGCACTATTCCTCCCACTGACACCAATGATGGGACACTATTCCTCCCACTGACACCAATGATGGAGCACTATTCCCCCCACTGACACCAATGATGGGGCACTATTCCTCCCACTGACACCAATGATGGGGCACTATTCCTCCCACTGATACCAATGATGGGGCACTATTCCTCCCACTGACACCAACGATGGGGCACTATTCCTCCCACTGATACCAACGATGGGACACTATTCCTCCCACTGACATTAGTGATGGGGCGCTAGTCCTCCCACTGATACCAATGATGGGGCACTATTCCTCCCACTGATACCAATGATGGGGCACTATTCCTCCCACTGACACCAATGGCGGGACACTATTCCTCCCACTGATACCAACGATGGGACACTATTCCTCCCACTGATACCAATGATGGGGCGCTAGTCCTCCCACTGATACCAATGATGGGGCACTATTCCTCCCACTGCAAAATTACAGTTCTGAAGTAGCAACGAAAATAATTTTATGGTTGGGGGTCACCACAACATGAGGAACTGTATTAAGGGGTCGCGGCGTTAGAAAGGTTGAGAACCACTGGTCTAGATGAAAGTATTGGGCTGGTTCTTGGGAGGAGTTATGAGAATATCAAAATGGCTTAATGGGTGGATGTCAGTCTGGACAAATGGGAGTTCTTAGGCAGACTGCATTTACATGTAGACAACCCTCATGTGATGCTGAGGCTCCATGATTGAAATAATTGAAATTCCAATAAATGAAAGAGACAAGCCATAAACATTAAGGCTGGGGAGAAAAGAACTAGGTGATACTAGATGTCATTCAGCCAGGAAACGAAGTGGGCTCTGTATTGACGCAGCTTGCAATGTAAAGCTCACAGTGTGCAGTGAAATCAGGGTAAGGAATTTCAATAAAGGAGAGAAGCCTGTACAACTGTGTAAGACTGCAGGTATGGCTAGAATTTAGCTTGAACTCAAAAGACAGCATCCCTGATAGGTATAACATCCAGTACTCTGTGCAGATCAATCATGACATGTATTATCACTTGTGACAGACCCTACTGGGACAGAGGCTTTTGGAGGGGACTGCAGGCTATCCTCTTGCCTACTGACCATGGGATCTGGCATCTGAGTAGGCTCTACTCTTTGGGAGGTGTGTGCCTGGGGGGACCTTTGGATTAGTTTTACTTTGGATTCAAGTCCAAGTCTCCTCGAAACACAGACTGAGAACTGGAGGACCCAGATACAGATGTGGGGGCTCTGTGCTTCACCCCCCCCCCTCCTAGACTCAGAGCAGATGTTAATATAATCAGCTCAAAACAACCTGATGCTGAGTCCTCTTGCTGTAATCAGTTTATTAAGGTGTTATGTGTTTACTGTTGTGTATTGTTCCATTGTTAATTGAGTTAATTGAGTCACCTATTGTTTCTATCTGTTGGCCATTCCTCCTGGATGTTGCTAGATGATGGGATTAGTATTGCTTCAACTTTATCTCATTATCTAATCAGTGTGGGATGTTTATCCCATTGTGTAATATTTCTTTTATTGCTCATGTGGGGAAACATGAAATACCTGTATTTCTGCTCAGTAAAGAGTTCCAATTGCACCTAAGCTAGTGTCGTCTAGTCCTTGGGTGCAATGCCCAGCTATAATACCTTGGTCCTGTGTCCCAGTGGCAAGGAAGCAGTTCTCTGACAGAGGCACTCAAGCAGAGTGCCAGGCAGTCCATCACAATTCTGAGAAAGTATTATTTGAAGAGTACTACTTCAACTTCTATAGTATGGATAATGGAAAATTGCACACTATATCTACAAAGATATAGTGTACAAATATGTACACTATATCTTTGTAGAAGAGATCTACATGAGTCACAACTAACCTTCTTCCCTTAACTGTACTTACTATGGCGTTCATGTCTAAGGTGGATTATTTATGTCCTTGCATTACAATATTCAGTGACTCTGCTATTCACAAACAAAAGTCTATAAAATGTCATTGTGTGGGCAGAAAAAGGAAATGATAGAGAAGTTGATAAATACACATAAAACAAATCAGCCAAACATGCGTCAAGAACACGCAGAGCAGAAGTGAAAAAGGCTTTACTAGGCTCCCACCTGATACCCATTTTACAGTCCATAACACATGGCTCATCAAAGTTGTTGAGAAGGTCATCTAACTGAATGTAACTTTCGTCATCCCTCTCCGTTACTCCGTGATAGGTGGGAACACAGGAGGCCAGAATGTCCTTCATTAGCAGCTCAAAGCAATTCTTCTCATTTTCAGAATAACGTTTTAAAATGGTTCCCCCCGCTGCCGCTTTGAAGCTCCCTAGGAAAGAACATTCAAAATAGTTATTTGGACTTCACAAATACCAGATGTAATGATACATGTATTACATACTTTATATAGACACACCTTCACAGCGACAAATTGCCCAGTATTATCAACAATGAATATCCAATTTAATGTATTTATGACCAATGAGTGGAGTGATTGTGATCAGTGATCCATCTCTCTCCCCCTACACAGCAAGTAGCAGGAGAAGGCAGATCTTTATGGCAACTCAACATTGCTTTGTCAGGTGGTTGCTGTCAAATGACAGCAATCATTAGCTATGGGTCTATGTATTCAGCTCCCAACTCCTTAGGTGGACCCTGAACTCAATCAGTGAAGATTTGCTGTTTTAGCAAAAATCTAGGAGTTACTGCGCCTAAACAGTACCCTGAAAAACCTAACTTTTTTCTTGATTTCCCCCTAAAATATACCAGTGCACTTCCTGGTATGTGAAGGTGCCTAGACACTCCTGCATACCTCTCAACTTTCTGAGATGGGAAAGAGGGACACTATTGGCAAAAGGTAGTTCGGCAAATGATACACCCCTGCCACATGGAAAATTAAAACACCAAAAATGATTAGTTACACCTGGTGTTCTCACCACTTCTGTACCTTTCTAATGGCTTCCTAAATCTACAAACACAATAATTTTTGAATCTGGATGAAAACTTTAGCATTTTTTGATAGATACATAAAGCATTTTTGATAGATACATAGTTCATATTTTACAAGTATATACATGAGACCAAAATGAGGGATACATGAGGAGGAAATAGAGACAGAGAAACTTTGTTGCAAAAGAGGAACAGTCTTTCCAAATCAGACAGTTGGGAGCTATGGTCCTGGGTCTATAGCCTCTTAGCTGTATATCTGTAATTTTAAATTACGTAAATTATGTCATTTAAATGAAAGGCACAGCTGACTCTCCCATTGCGAAGTCTCGTGGTACGGCGAACGCTATACATAACTCCTGCCTATTCCATCTTAAGGATAGCTCTGTGGACCACTATGTTTTTGTGAAAGGCTTCATTGCCGGCCAGTTGTTCATGTTGGCAACACTTTACGCACCTAACACCCACCAACTCACTTTCTTGGATGTGATCCTGGAATGGCTGGCAGACTTCAGAGAGGGCCTTTTAGTTTTAAGGGGTGATTTTAATGTTAGTCCTGAGACCCTCTCATTGATATGTCCTATCACCGACCCATACAGTCCTATGCTTTTCTTAAGCAGGTTCGTAAGGCACTTCAGATTTACATGCTGGTGGACAGCTAGAGGGCTCTCCATTTCTCAGATAGGGACTTTATCTACTACTCAAAGGTGCACGATGTGTATACTCCCATAGATATCTTATATGTGGACCGTGGCACTCAAGAGCTGCTGCAGTCAGCTGAGATTGGAAACATCATGCTTTCTGATCATGCACCGGTCTCTGCAACGCTCAACTTGCCTCATGGTACCTTGAAGTCTTGGTCTTGGCGGTTGACCAAAAAACTGCTGGATGAAGTTTCCATAGTAGCCAAGGTTACTGACACTATTACACATTATTTGAAGGAAAATACAATTGATGATCTTGCGGAGGGGACAGTATGGGAGGGTCATAAGGCAGCGGTTCGTGGAGATTTGATTTATTTGGGGTCTAAACTTAAAAAGGAACATCAGGCAGATTTCCAATGGTAGTTGACCGCATTGCAACAGGCAGAGCTTCCACATAAGCATCACGGTACTCCCAAGGCTCTTTGATGTCTGCACGTCATCAGGGAGTTGTTCTCATGCCTACTGGACCACTGCATCCGTAGACAGCTACGTTACCTGTCCCAAAAATAGTACGGACATGGTAACAAATGTGGTCGAATGCTGGCCAGAGCTCTCAGGAAGCGGAGAGCCCATACTCGCGTGCATAAACGTCTGACCCCCCTCTGGAGATGCAGCTCTGCATTCTTCTAAGATAGTCTCCCTGTTCCGTGATTATCATGAGAAGCTCTATAACTTTGGAAGTTGAAGCTATGGTAAAATCGCTTCTTGGTGGGAAGAGCCCTGACCCGTATGGCTATACTGAGGCGTAGTACGTTAAGTTCCTTCCACTTCTACTCAGCCTTCTATGCAGGTACTTCAATTCTTTCGCCAATGGTGGCCCTACTCCCCCGGAGGCTCTGTTGGCCCACATCACCGTGCTTCCTAGAAAGGGAAAAGATTCTGTTTTGCCACAAAGCTATTGGTCGATATCATTGCTCAATGTGGACATCAAACTTTATGCAAAGATTTTGATTGAAGTGCCTCCTACTGTCCATTATACACCCAGGTCAGACAGAATTTATATCTGGTAGGGAAGCAAGAGACAACTATCTGAACTGTGCAGCTTATCCATTGGGCTCATTCCCTCCAGGACCCGGTTCTCTACCTTATTTTGTCCAAAGACGCTGAGAAAGCGCTTGATTGCGTGGATTGGTATTATCTCAAGCCTGTGCTGGAGAATCTGGGTCTCCCAGTGTGCAGGTTAAAGTTAACGGCCTCTTCCCTTCCCAGTTCCCCATATGAAATGGTACGAGAGGGTGCAAGGGGTGTCCACTTTCGCCCCTCCTTTTTGACTTGGTCTTAGAGCTGTTCCTCCGCTCCATCCAGGCACATCCAGATATAAAGAGGGTCACAGCAGGACCCACCAAACACAAGCTCTTGACATATGCTGATTATGTCCTGTTCCACCTTACTGACCAGCTTGTCTTGTTGCTAACCTGATGAGGGAACTTCAGCTCTTTGGCAAGATATCTCATTTCAAGATCAATTAAACTAAGTCTGAAGTCTTGCCCATTACTGTATCCAGGCTGCTAGTCTCTACATTATGTGGGGGTTTTCCCTTTCACATGGGCTAAGTCCTCTCTGAAATACCTAGGAGTCCAGCTTACTGACCGCTTTGAGACACTATATTACAGTAACCATCCTGCTCTTCTACAGTGGTGCAAAAGGACTTGCAAACCTGGACTAAAGCTGCTTTCAATTGGCTGGGTCACGTGAATATAGTTAAAATGAATATACTCCGTAGAAAGCTTTTTCTTATGCAAATGCTGCCCATGCCTTTACCTAAACATTTCTTTCTGCAGTTCCACAACATGCATATTGATTTTGTGTGGAATGGGTGGAAACCACGACTGGTGCTTTATTTGTTACAACAGTCCAAATGGGTGGGGGGACTGGGCCTCACTGATCTTCAGAGGTACTATAGGACTATTGTTCTCCAGAGACTTTTAAACTGACGCTTTCATACCAAAACTAAAAACTCTGGGTTTCCCTGGAGAAATACCTGGTGGGACGCAATCTATCTTTTGCTCCATGGCAGCCCTGTGAATACAGAGGACTATTGACAACCACGTCTGCCCTGACAACCCATGCCTTACGCATCTGGGATAGAGTTAAACTTTTCGCTCTGTATCACCACTTTCTCCATTGGATAGTTACTTGTGGTTCCCCCTGGGGAAAGCCTAACTTTTTTTTTTTTAGATTTTGGGTTGCAGACCGTACCCTCAGTTGTGGAGTTGAATTGTAAATACTTATTTCCAGTCTATAGACTCTAGGCTATGCAGGACATTAGCAGGTTAGTTTAAAAAAAAAAAAAGTCTGTTCAAGAGGTGCAACAGCTCAGGTTCAAATTACACACACAGCTGAAGGAGTCAGAGGAGTGACTCTTAGGATTATATATTTGTATGTAAGAAAAAAACATTCACCAAATAAAGTTTTTGTAAAAGAAAAAAAAAAAAACTAATATTCACACAACAAAATATATAAAACAATTGAAAAAATATAAAGTTAAAAAAAATTAAATAAAATCTCCCTCTTGTGAGTTTGGCATGCCTGTCTTATACAAACATGTTGTCATCAAACATGGCTTCATGCACACTAAATGTATTTACAGCTGCGGTTTTTGGCATCAAGCATTTTTTCCAGCAGCCAGTAAACTCCCCATCAGGTTATCCTATATGTCCATGCACACAGGCTTTTATCAGTGGTTTTTGGCAGGGGCTTTTTCAGGATAGAAAAAAACCTAGAACTACTGCTGTAAAAACGCTCCAACTTGTGAAAGACGTAACTATCCGGCATTTATGAGCGTTTTTGAGACTATTTTTGGACACTGCCATTTTTCTACAGAAAATTCCTAGACATTTCCTAGTGTGTTTTTCTGCTCTTGTTTTCATTATCTGACCTGTGCTGTATACAAAACAGGAACATTTCCCAATGTCCTTTGCTGCCTTCATTGTCTCAGCTGACTGAACTGTGTGCAAACAGGAAATTCCTTTTATGGGCATATGGAGGATACACTACGGGATATCAAATGATGGGTCCAGAGTCATTGTTGATGGCTGCTTCTCTCCTTCAGCTGTCTGTCTCCTCACTATCTTTAACAGAATCAGTAGCATAGCCTCATCAATTTTCTGCATTACAGGATACATAATGGATGCAGCAAGAAAAACAAAGATAGCTCCGGAACAATACAGTGCTCTCTCTCTGCTCTGAAAATGGTGACTAAATAACTACACAATAACTATTCAGAGATGCAGTTGAAGTTAAAAATAGCGAGAGGGATTTTCTTGCTGAAAAACACTAAAAAACTGCTAATGCAGCAAAACACTAAAAAACGCTAATGAAAAAAGCAGTAAAATGCTGCAAAAACTCATGCAATGCTACTGGTGTTTTTATCACGTCCAGTGTGCATGAAGTCTAAAACAGTCTCTGACCTCCTCACCAGTTTCTTGGTTTGTGGGGGATGAACCTCACACCTACTGGAGTTGAAAATTGGCTCAGTGCCAAAGAAAGGGCACCCTGAAGTTATGGAGGATCCCCATCACTGCTGTAGCAAGGTGCCTTGTAAGGATGATGGTGCCACAGAAACATTTGCCAATGTGGGAGATTTTAGCATATTGATACAAAAAGTAGAAAGCACTCTTCTCTGCAATCATATTCTTCAAAAAACTATAACCAGTTGTAATAAATTGTGTCATGTCCT